ACAGATCAGATCTAAATGACACTGGATCTTGTGCATTTCACATTTGGGAAGTTACGACGATATGATGCCAAGTATATTTGACCCGCAAAGTTCCGGTATTACCTTGGACTAACAGATCAGATCTAAATGACACTGGATCTTGTGCATTTCACATTTGGGAAGTTACGACGATATGATGCCAAGTATATTTGACCCGCAAAGTTCCGGGTAAGAATTGGTCTTCAGCAACCCATGCTTGTCGTAACAGGCGAATAACACAACACCTCGGTGGTCAGGCTCGCTGACTTGGTTGATACATGTCATCGTATCCCATTTGCGTGGATCGATGCTCATGATCTCATTGATCTCTGAATTGTCTGGTCCAGACTCGATTATTAACATACTGCAGACAGATAGCTGGGGTATTGCTGAGTGCGGCGTTAAAAAACTAACCAACCAAACAACAAAGTATATTGTAACATGTATATTGTAACATGTATATTGTAACATGTATATTGTAACATGTATATTGTAACATGTATATAGTAACATGTATAGTAACATGTATATTGTAACATGTATATTGTAACATGTATATTGTAACATGTATAGTGTAACATGTATAGTGTAACATGTATAGTAACATGTATATTGTAACATGTATATTGTAACATGTATATTGTAACATGTATATTGTAACATGTATATTGTAACATGTATAGTAACATGTATATTGTAACATGTATATTGTAACATGTATATTGTAACATGTATAGTGTAACATGTATATAACATGTATAGTGTAACATGTATAATGTAACATGTATATTGTAACATGTATAGTGTAACATGTATATTGTAACATGTATAGTAACATGTATATTGTAACATGTATATTGTAACAAGTATATTGTAACATGTATATTGTAACAAGTATTTGTAACATGTATATTTTAACATGTATAGTGTAACATGCATAGTGTAACATATACAGTGTAACATGTATAGTGTAGCATGTATATTGTAACATGTATATTGTAACATGTATAGTGTAACATCTATCTTGTAACATGTATAGTGTAACATGTATATTGTAACATGTATAGTGTAACAAGTATATTGTAACATGTATAGTGTAACATCTATCTTGTAACATGTATAGTGTAACATGTATATTGTAACATGTATAGTGTAACATGTATATTGTAACATGTATATTGTAACAAGTATATTGTAACATGTATATTGTAACATGTATAGTGTAACATGTATATTGTAACATGTATGTTGTAACATGTATATTGTAACATGTATATTGTAACATGTATGTTGTAACATGTATATTGTAACATGTATAGTGTAACATGTATATTGTAACAAGTATATTGTAACATGTATATTGTAACATGTACATTGTAACATGTATATTGTAACATGTATATTGTAACATGTACATTGTAACATGATCAGGGGCATGTTGGGAAACTCGAATATAAAAATCAATCCTTTCTGTTACGCCTTTTCGGAAACCTAAGTGTGCATTTTGTGACCGCAAAGCAATCTGACTTTGGAGCTTCGTGACGTTACTTTGGTTGGAAACATCACGAGGCTAGCCAACTATTTTGTTGTAATTTGTGTACCCTATAAAGTATACCTGATCCCTGAGGTATCGTAAAGGTGCGCACCGTAGCACCCTCATACCGTTGAACTCTTGTAATCTTCCACCCATCCACTCCACCTGAACCCTTTGGATCCGCACAGACTGACCTGATCGTGTCTGTCCACATTTTCGAAGTATTTAGTCTTTTCTTTGAGGACGGTTTTTCAAATTCAAACCTTAACACTTTCAGGAGAGGAAGAATATAGCTGGAATATTTCTGACTACGGCGTTGAACAACATTCAAGCAACTAAGATCATCAATAATCACCATCCTGTATCTTCTCAGCTACAACTGCAGCAAAATGTACCTGTCTTCCGGAATGCCTGATACATTCCAGCCTGAAAAGCATCCTCGGTCCATGATACCACAGCGTGGTAGACATATACGTGAAGCCTGCACTTAGTGATGGAACTGAACTACTGATATGACCAGCTCCACCAGGTCTTCAAAGCACAGCTTACTTCCTACCTGCTTAAACTAATGATGCTTGTAGTATTTGCTCGGAGGGAGTCAGTATGGATTTACGCCGCTTTTATCAATATTCCAGTAATATCACGGCAGGGGAACATCAGAAATGGACTTCACACAATATACCCATGTGGGGAATCTAACCCGGGTCTTCGGAGTGACGAGCAAACGCTTTAACCACTGAGCTACCCTACCGCCCCTTGTATCTGTTCGGAATGTAACTGTGCTCTGTTAATGTGGTGTATAAACGTTACATGTGTTGTGTGCCGCCTCCATGGTCTAAGGGGTGGAGAGTCTGTCCCTTGAGCTGAAGGTTGGATTCCTTTCATGGCAGAACACGAAAAAAAGATAACTAGTACATATTGTTGCTCTATCGTGTCTCATGATGAAACAAAGCTGGTCGGCCCGTACCAAGTAAAACATCTTTTAGTGGGGCGTGTTAAGCTGCTTCATAATGTACATACCACACACGTACATGTATATGCACGCGCGCGCACACGCACACACACAAACACGAGACAGTTGCAATGCTTATGATTCCTACAAAATTGCATCATTAATGCTTTGTGGTGTCTCTCTGTAAATATTTCGTTTGAAATGTGAAAGCGAATACATTTCAAAACACAATCTCCTTGTGATCAGAAAGGCACTGCATCTGTCGAACCCTAGAAGATCCGGGTTAGAATTGATCTTCGGCAAGGCATGCTTGTCGTAAGAGGCGACTAAAGGGATCATTACAACATAAGCACATGCAACCTTTCGGCCAAGTGAGCGGGCAGGGGTAAGCTCCAGCAAGCTTTCACGCCATGAATGAGTAATTTGTTGTCAAACAGGATGGTAAAAGTGTAAACTACACTACTATAATCTAGAAACCTTTCATGTTCTTTAAGTAAGTTTTGACCAAAATGTCCACCGAGTACATGGATCACTTTGCAAGCGGACTGTGTTATCAGTAAATAAACAGGGTCTTGAAGAGTGTGTGAGTGAGTGAGTTGCATTTAAAGCCGCTTTGAACAACATTTCATGAATAATAGTTGGAGGAAAGCCCCAAATGATGTAAAATTCTGACGGTTACCACGTTGGTGAAACTCATGAGCCGAGGATAGAGGCGACAAACCTAGAAATATGATCTGGTTCGAACCTGCAAACATAGGATTCTGCCGTTCCCATGGGACGCAACTCTGCACAATACTGCTTCATAGACGACTGTCCCTGCGGTGTGCAGAGGTGAACACAGAAATATCATGACCATTGCATCCTTGACAAGAACTTACTAGGAATAAGCACCGTCTTCCTTCCTTACCGCGGTGACGACTGACCCAAACAGCAGTCACTATTCGGCGGGACAGTGGAGTAGCCTAGTGGTCTAATCGTTCGCTTGTCACGCCGAAGACCCGGGTTCGATTTCCCATATGGGTACAATGTGTGAAGTCCATTTCTGGTGTCCCCTGCGGTGATGTTGCTGGAATATTGCTAAAAGCGGCGTAAAACCATAATCACTAACTCAGAGCAAATACTACAAGCGTCATTAGTTTAAGCAGGTGGGAAGTAAGCTGTTCTTTTGAAGATCTGGATGATTTGGTCATATTAGTAGTTCTGTTAGTTCAATCACTATTCCGGCTCCCACAAATGAAATACAGTCAAAGACAGTTGTGTCGAAGTTTGATGTGTCGAACTCACGGTTGTCTCGAAATGAAATAAAATGAAATCAAAAAGCGTAAGTCCCCCTATGTATTCGTATTCAAGAGTGTTTGCTTTCAGTACCGAAGATAAGAAAGGCATTCTTTAAATTCAGGCAATGCCACCCAACTTCTTACGTTACTCTCCGCCCTTACCCTGTATTTGTTCGTCCATCAGACCATGGAGAGATTAAAGTAATCGAGAGCGCCGCTATAGTGTTCGCCTATCTACGACTGGTTGTCTGTATCAACACCGCGTTCAACAATAACGCAGTCAATATTTGCTTTTGCTTCAAAGAACACGGTACTTAATATTCGGATATCTTCTGTGCCTCAGAGTGTTCAAAATCGTGATTAATTGAGCTCAACGTTCACTTACAATGGTGAGGTCAGACGGTCATTGATCATAAAAAGTAGCGTAAATATTAAGGCTGGCGGAAACAATCGCGGAGAAATCGGGAGTCGACAGCGTTCCCTTAAGTCAGACGGAGCCACGGTACAGCCATGCACTGACTCGGTAGTAGGTAAGACGTCTTTTTAAATGTGTCTATCATAGCAATGTGCATGCTATTTAATGACGTTTCTTACTCTACAGATATTCGAATCAGGAAATCTTATTCATACATTACCCATGATTTCATTGGTTGTATTTATTATGACGTCATTTAGATACCTTTGATAAGAAGACCTTTCAATGAGATCCACGCAAACTTGACGCCTGTGCCAAGGATTAAAGTTGATACTTGGTGTGGGGTTGCAATTAGCTGAATCATTTCTTGAATTCGATCTGTAAGCCATGGGCAAAACACAATTACTACAAATATCACACCACCACCATCACTACTTCTACCACTACTACTACTACTACTACTATTACTACTACTACTACTTCTACTACAACTACTACTACTACTACCACTACCATTACTACTACTACTACTACTACCATCACCACTACCACTACTGCAGCTACTACTACAGTTACTAAAAAAGACAACCAAATACTTATATGAAAAATGAAATAAACAATGATGTAATATATATTAACAATAATTATGTTATAGTGATTAACATAGAAAAATGTTGACAAGTAAAACCAGTAAATAGTAGAACGTTGATTTCCTGCTATCATGGTGACGCACCGTGCTATCAAGTGACGAACCCGAACCTGGTGACATGACCGATTGTAACACTCCAGTTGTCGTCACGTCACCCCAGCCAGGGAGGGCTCACCACTGGCGTGTAGAATACCTGCTTAGTACATACACCGCTGTGTTATGAAACAGGATAAACTTTCGTCTTTGTTGGTCTCGATAAAACTATCAGCACCACCCGTTCCGTGAACCGCCATGACAGCAGTGTAGTAAGTATATTTGACAACAGCTTTCTCACTTACTGGAATCATATTTCCCTCATTGATAAGAAAACTACATTTCTTCGTTTCCCCGAATGGGTATGGTTATAGTCACATGAAGTTACCCTAAATCCAAGGTTTGTGAGGTGAGGTGGAGGTGAAATTGAGTTTAACGTCGTGCTTGAGAATATTTCGCTCATATGACGACGTGCATGCGAGTGTATGTGTATGTGCGGCTGCTTGTACTAGCCCAGACTGAAGCTGGTTTTATAGTGCTAGCCCACTGAGATACCATGCCGCAGTGAAGCATGAATACCCCTATCAGACACATTATACTGACTCCGAGCCGACCAGTCCTTGTACCCATTAATGCCGAGCGCCAGACAGGGACCAACAAATACCATATTTTAACGTCTTTTTGTATTACGCGGTCGGGGATCGACCCCGCGACCCAAGGTTTGTTGATAACGTGATTCGCATTGCAGCGGTGCTTGCTTAAGTTATGCCTAGACGTGTTCCTTGTTTGTATGTACATCACAGATGTGTCGATGCTGATCCTTGGTATACGTTCACTGTAGCCTTACTCGTAGGTTTCACCAGTGCCGTTCAGGTTATCGTTTTGAACCTTCCCCCAACTGTACGTATCCTCACCGTGATACTCCCAAGTACTGTACATTTAGAGTCGGTGACTGTACACATGTGTTTCACCTGACCATGCAGTGTAACCTTTGTAGATATGTAGTAAAACCCCAAATTTATATGTAGTGAAACCATTGTACATATGTATTGAAATCCCAGTGAAACTCTTATGTACTGAAGGTGAGATGAGGTGAAATGGGCTTTAACGCCGTACTTAAGAATGTTTCGCTCATATGTCGGGCTGCTTGTACTAGCCCAGACTTAAGCTGGTTTAATAGAGCTAGCTCACAGAGATACCATCCCGCAGGATCGAACCAGCAGGCTTCAGCTCTCCGAGCGGACGCTCTAACCACTACACCACGGAGCCGGTTCCTTATGTACTAAAAGCCAAATGTAGTGAAATCCATGAACATATGTTGTGAACCCTGTAATGTGTAGTCAAACACATATATATAGGTAATGAAAACTCTGAACATATGTAGTGAAAGCCATGTATATACATTGATTTCACAACACACGTATAAGGTTTTACTGCATGTAGGGCTCACTACATATATACAGGTAATATGTACGGTGAAACAATATGCATATGCATTACAGATACTGCGTACATGCAATAAAACCAGACTACATATGCAATAAATCACCTGTACATACGCAATAGCAACCACACACACACACACACACCCACACACACACACACCTGTATATGTGTAGTAAAACAAATGTACATAAGCAGTAAATTCAGTGCGTTAAATCCAATGTATGTACACACGCACTGAAACCAATGGGGGTCCAGATTCTATAACTCAACCATCTGGACGATAGTTAAACCAGGATATCGGTGGGGGATGGCAAACACTTGACCACTAGACTACCCCCGCTAGAAAGCAATGCAGTGGTTAGTGATAGTCAGGTATGTTTCTGCGAACACACTATTACATCCTCTCACCAGGTCTTCAACAAGGCGCGGTGGGGTAGCCTAGTGGTTAAAGCGTTGGCTCGTCACGCCGAAGACCCGGGTTCGAATCCCCACATGGGTACAATGTGTGAAGCCCATTTCTGGTGTCCCCCGCCGTGATGTTGCTGGAATATAGCTAAAAGCGGCGTAAAACCAAACTCAGTCAGTCAGTCTTCAACAAGCAGCACCAGGTTTGAATTCTAAAATATACTTCGAGATGAATATTTAAAAAAACACACATTCAAATCCAGAAAACTGAGGAAGTTATCATTATCATATCTAGTATTCACTCATTACTTGTTGACTGTGTCTTTACTCAAAACCTGTACTGTCCTCGGGCGTGTTGGCGTTAAGCGTAATCACATCGACCACCAAGTAATATTATCCAAATTTCTACCTTCCCGGACACAGACACACCATCGTCACGACCGAACCCCTTCACGGCTGTGTGCGTCGTATTTCAGTGTTGAATATACGCTATACATCGTACTCATCACGCAACCCTAATCACTGTTGACTGAGCAGTGTAAGGGTTAATGTCAATATTTAGGAAGGAATCAGTGAAAGGCAGGTACTCCAAGTCAGCAGAAAGTCAATGGCTGTGATTGATGTTTTGTAAATACCACTTTGTTAACTGAGATACCGCCGCCATATGGTTGCTAGGGAAGCGGTCGACTAGAGTCGTTGTTACCAAGACTAACACCGGCATGGTCACCTATGCTATATTTTCATTGCTACACTTTTCAGACTGTATTTTGAAAAGACTTTATACTTTAAAACACTGGAAACGTTATTTATTGTGCCCTCCGATATTATTGAAGTAAATCTGAATGTGGATGCCTCACTGTTTTGTACAGCCATTCATCTGGCCGATTTTGCGAAAGAGACATGGTCGAGTAAATGAAATATGATAAATAACAAGAGATGACATTTTGAGTAAAACTGAAAGAAACCAATTTCAGCTTGAAAAAGATAAGAATATATCATTCCCACTTAAAAGTGACACAAGAAAAATAAATTGTGCTGACAAGGATACGGCTTTATGTTAATAATAATTTCCAAACCGTCGATATTACTTGTACTTTGAAAGATAACAAATATCTAAACCTACTTACTTCTTTTGCAAAGTACACACATACACACGCACGCACGCACGCACACGCACTCACACACACACACACACATACACACACATCCAAAAGACCTATTGTTCTAGACCTTATCTCAAAGCCCTATTCCAGTTCTCACTCACGATCATATCAACAAGACCTATTGTTCTAGACGTTATCACACAGCCCCACTCCAGTCCTTGTCAACACAACGACACAGATATCCCTCTATACAATACCCCAGCAATAACGCCACTACCCTGACAGTTAAAGCCCACGATAAGGCCAATATAAGAAATGGCGGAACAATCCAAGAAGAACACATCCTTGGCATTGACAAACAACACCCCCAGGACCGAGTTGAACAAATTTACGGGTGCATTTCTCTCGAGGTTTAATCAAGTACGATAAGAGACTTCTCTAGTCGTTGATATCACGGAAACCAACAAGAGAGAGTGAAGTCTTTATTGAAGTAGTTTATTTTGAGCATTAAGTCAAACATTCAATAATCACGCTGCGTTCAAACGTCGAGTCAGGCACGAGTGTATATAGAGTGTTGGGTTCGAACGCTGCCTTACACAACACAATACAGCCATAAAAGAAGGTATGTGTATATTGACAGTGTCGGCCTGAGTTCATGGTATAAGGCTTATATTGCCTACTGCCAGTATAACTCATTACCCTTTCTTCTCTCGTTACAGATGCGCTAGCATGTCAGTTCTGGAGTAAAGATACATGGCACAATATCTGATATCCATATGAAAACGTTTCTTTTAAAGATGTTTCAATGGTTAGAAACTAACATGTTTTCTTTGTACAAACACGGAATTCCTTTATGCTGATTAAAAACGTATATTGTTTTAATTATTTTATTCCTTAAAATGTCCGCGTCAACTATTGCAATATCTTAACTGATATGAGGGGTTGGTATACTGTGGTTAGCTCCAATACTAAGATTATCACTACTGACGGTCATTTGTTCTGAACCATTTGACAGAGTATACCTGAACAGATACAAGTCCTGCTGGGCATTGCATTCAAGAAATGTGATATATTGAAGGAGTTTAGGTTAACTTAAACAAATTCTTGTAGTTCGTGAAATTCTTGCGATGTCTTACTCTTACAATGATCACATATTTCAGACGAAAATGGCAAGCATGGGGAATCGGCCCAAACGTCCCCGGACACGCCCACTGGGCTACGTGCCAGTCAAGAACCCGATCTTCTTAGAGAGAGAGAAAACCGAGTTCAGGGACGGCCTTCAAACAATCTCCGACATCATCCACTATGGGGACGACATGAAGACACGGGTGCGATCCTCAATGAAGACATCATCGAGGATGAACAACGCAAACATTGCCAAATATTACAACAACGTTCCCGATAGAGTGATCAGCCCCGATCTCAGAGACAACGACGGACTGTTCCGACAGACGTCCTCGATATGCAACCGAAAATTCCAACCAGACAGAACCTCCTTGGCTAATCTTCAGTGTGAGGTACTAGGCCCTTTCTTCTGCGCCGATTGTTCCAAAACGCGACGCCAAGACATGAACTGTGAAACCCACAGGGCAATGTATCCTCAAATAGCAGTTCACCAGCGAGCCCTAGTTGCGCCCAATAAAGTGATGCAGTTTAATTCCTCAAAGGCTACATCGTCTTTTAAGGACAAAAGGGTACTTTCTTGCGGATGTATCGTCGACGCAGAGAATGCCTTCCACATTCCCGTCGTTTACACACAACACGACGTTCACAATAGGGTCAGACATGCGCACCAGGCCGGATGTAGTTTGGTACATAGAAAAGCGTTGCCTTCAACTAAAACGATTCCCGGCAGACTCGAATTGTCGAATACGGAGGAGCCAGAGACCTACAACGTGGAGAATATCCGAGTCTCCGTCCACTTCAACTCACCAACAGAAGAAGGAAGGCGATTCTTTAATGTTTAGTGACAGTGGAGTAGGACATCTTGTTGTTATAATGTTTGAACCTTGCATTGGATCTATAACATTAACCTGGAATATTGTTGTCAGAATTATTTTTGTTTTAAAGTTTTACAGGACCTTGTTCTCGGTGAATATTGAGTATGCGATCCTGTTGACCACTTGTAAGGTATGTTTTGCTATTAAACAGGGTCGGAGAATGTGGATATAAACAAACTGTGCTCACATATAACTTAACTGTTATATTTGGTATATGAAACTGTATATGAAATGATATTGGTGACACGGGTCAGGAAGTCTCAGCAGAGTTGAGTACCTTGGTCACACCAGTGGCCTAACATTGTGGGTTGAAGATCAGGTTGGCCTTTGTTTCTGGGTGCCTCGGGCGATAAACGTCTAAGACCTGCATCACGTCGGACTCTTCTCCCGCTTTATCTCAGATTTATTGTGAAAAAAAATACTTATTGATATGCATGATACTGAGGATATATGTATTCAAGACTGTTTTGTTTTTTTGTCCATATCCTATTTTTTTCATTGCTTTGTATCAAATCGTAACAACAGAAACAATGGTAACCATAAGCAAGAAATCCGATTTGATCAAGATGTTTCCAATCCAAGAGAAACCGTCCGATTAATGTGTTTTGGATACATGAGTATGTCTTTAAAGGAGTACATATGTAGATAGACTAACGACGTTTTACTAACATATGTATCCAAGAAAAGCCCCCACTGCAGAAATAACCATACCTTTGAGCTGCCATTATATTGTAATCCGTTACACCGAACGTATTGCCGTCATATTCCTGTCTATAGTGACGAATACACAAATAATATCTCTCCTTCGCAGAGGAAAAGCTTTAGGATGTAGTCAGAAAATATTTAACCTCATTGTGATTATAGCCCATTAAGGCAACTATAATTAACATTTAACCCGATAGTGCCCACCCAGGCATAAACGCACCGATATGATAATCGATAATCAATGGTAATCACTTATTCCTAGGTTATTGTTACCATGGGCCTCAATATTGTGTCTGTTGCTAAAATTGACCCAGCACTATTCACGTTATGACTCATTTTGTAATTACAACTCACTAAGACTGAAGTTACCTCGACCATGTGGAGGCAAGATTGTGTAGATACACGAGATATCACTTAAACTGAGGTGAACTACAGCCATGCAAGAAGAATCATGTTAAGGATTAACCTACTTAAAGTGAGTGAGTTTAGTTTTACGCCATACTCAGCAATATTCAAGCTATATGGCGGCGGTCTGTAAACAATCGAGTCTGGACCAGACAATTCAGTGATCAGCAGCATAGCCGGCAAAAGAATCATTCTGTGGGAAATAACGTAATTGAACAAGCAAGTACCATCCACTTACAAATAATAAAAGATACATGAACAGTGCCTACCATTTCATCAGAAATACATTATTAGCTTCTTACCCACCAGAAAAAAACATGTTGGTAAATATCCTAAAACTAATAATGGAGTACAACAATATTTACTTAATATTTACTACAAATTATCGGCCAGTAATACTATCAAACATTCAAATCTGAAACTCACTCACATGTTTAAACAATCCTACCATTAGTTCTCAGCTCAAATTGTGCGCTATGTGCAGCATATGGAGCCTGGAGAGGCGCGTTATACATGGTCTTCTTCTTCTTACCATTATCATTATAGCAATAGACAATGAGAGTTTAATGTTGCACATGTCTATCACTACATTTCTGTTGTTTTTGTTTGTTGTCTTACGCCCCTTTCTGCAATTTTCAAACTACGGTCTATAAATCATCCACCGAATCCCGTTAGTCGTCTCTTACATGAGGTGAGGTGAAATTGGGTTTAACGTCGTGCTTGAGAATATTTCGCTCATATGACGACGTGCATGCGTGTGTATGTGTATGTGCGGCTGCTTGTACTAGCCCAGACTGAAGCTGGTTTTATAGTGCTAGCCCACTGAGATACCATGCCGCAGTGAAGCATGAATACACCACTCAGACACATTATACTGACTCCGAGCCGACCAGGCCTTGTTGTACCCATTAATGCCGAGCGCCAGGCAGGGACCAACAAGTACCATATTTTAACGTCTTTTGGTATGACGCGGTCGGGGATCGAACCCGCGACCTTCCGCTCTCCGGGCGGACGCTCTAACCACTACACCACGGAGGCGGCCGTCGTCTCTTACGACAGGCATGGTATGCTGAAGACTAATTCTAACCCGGATCTTAACTGGTTCGTTGCTAGTGCATGACTTACCCAGTGCTTTGAAGACATGTTATGGCTAACCCACGTTGTTGTAATTGTCCCCCAGGAATTGAAGGCGTTTGGTATAGCGAAAGATGAAGTATAGCAAATACAGTTTTCGAAATATTCTCAGCTGGTCTAATATGCTCTTATTTATTATAAATGATAAAAAATTGTCCCCTTTACTTTAATTTGTCATGATATCGTCCACAACACAACAGCATCTACGCTATCGTGTAGAACCTGGTTCTCACAAAAACCCGTTTTGCCTTCTATAAGTAATGATTACTTGTGTATCATAATATGAACAATATATATATATTTTTTTACTTCGAGAACATATTGCTGTTTGCACACAACACACACAACGCGAACAATAAACATAAAATCTAAAGCACATGGAGTGTTTCCTATGATTTAATGAATAGTCCATGCGGTGTGTATCTTGATTTAATGAATGGCATCTCCCATTTCAAAACACATGGAGTTGTTTCCTATCTTGATTTAATGAATAGTCCATGCAGTCTGTATATAATCGAAACATCATGAGCATTGATTTACGCAGTTGCGATACGATGATGGCATCTCCCATTTCTAAAATCCATTTATTTTTTCAATAAGTTTATTTTCTTTAAAGTATAATTTGAAAATTGTTCCGATACATACATCGTATTCTTGAGTGATTGAGTGAGTGAGTTAATATTTAACGTCACATCGGCAATATCTCAGCCATATCGTGACGAAAACAATTTATACAATGAAAAATGAAAACATTTTGGAGAGTAAAACCTGTCGACGATGGACAGTAAAAATACTAGAATATCACATATATGAACATAAAACTAGCATGTCAAACTAAAAGATTTGAATTAAAGAAGACAATACAATATAAAACAGGGGTTATAGATCGCCCGTGGGACTTACATTACTTTTGCTACCTGCATGGACCGTGGCTGGATTTACACCATCCGTTCAGCCGCTGGCGATGTAGGAAGATTCGTATTTTTGAGTAGCTCACAGTTAGATTGCATATATATTATCTAAGGACTCGGACCCGTTTTTTATCCACCTTTCCTCTGTTATATCAGGATATAAGCTCATATACTATAATGACAGACAGTTGCATAGGAATAGCTTTATGAGCGCGCGAATGAATATTGAGTTATGCCGCAGCCAGCAACTTTCCAGCTATATGAGCATAGCCTGTACATACTTGGAAACCACTGAGATTGACACAACGGTGAACGATGCGACCCGTCGAGATATCAAGTCACCGATCCTGGCCATCCAGTCCCCTTTATTAGGATTTTACGATAGCCTAGGACACCCGGTCTTCTTGGTCTCCAGAATCAGAATGAATGGCGTGAGCACCTGCTGATAAATAACAACAATAATGAGTGGATGCAGATCAATTTACCATTTTATACACGGAATGGACCACACAACCGTATACCATTAGTATGTCACAGATGATACACAAGCCATTCATTCTGGGAGTGAGGGGATGGGTTCTCTCAATTACAATTATCATCAGGAAACATCACAGGATAACACGCTAATGTACGTTTAACTCACCAATAACTGTTAGATGTATGTCCCTGAAGCTATGAAGTCAGATAGCCTAATGAATCATTCCTGTGAATAAATGTGAATGTTGCTATGTGTGTTCGAACATTAAGCAATAGGAAAATCAATGAAAGCGACATTCTATGTTCCCTATAGACCTACATCCCCATTTTCCCCAACAGTCTCCAAACATATCAGAGCTTAGTGCAGGTGTACTCATGATCTGACAGCCGCTCTGTTACCTTTTCTGGACTGGAACAGGTAACTGAAAAAAGAAAAGAAAGGCTTAATTGAAGATTTTAATACATATATATGTATTAATAACATATGGTGTTTGAAATATTGACATTGATATTTAGTCCTATGTACAGTTTACAGTAATATTGTAGTCAAATTCAGAAAGTTGAGGCAGTAGAAGTGGTTAAGAGGCTGCGGATGGATAATGGTACTACATCTTACCCATATGAGTGACTGAGTTTATTTTTACGCCACACTCAGCAATATTCCAGCTATGTGACGGTAGTCTGTAAATAATCGAACCTGGACCAGACATTCCAGTGATCAACAGCATGAGCAATTGAGTATCGATCTGCGCAATGGGGAACCGATGACATGTGTCAACCATGTCAGCGAGCCTGACCACCCGATCCCTTTAGTCGCCTCTTACGACAAGCATGGGTTACTGAAGATCAATATTCTAACCCGGATCTTAACGGGTACTTACCCATATGACTAGTGAGAACACATTCGGGTGGTTCAAATGGAGATGGAGACTATTCGTCAAGGAAGTTGACTTTGACGTGTGGCTGCACCTGTCTCACTACCCAACTGTGTGAAAACAATTATAAGCCCTACATACCAGCCTGACCTGCTGTAGTCCAAGAATACACAAGAGTCCAGCCAGGAACAACAATATGGGGCACCTACATGCGGGTGGCACCAGCATCAGGCATACATTGACCCTGCAGTTTAGCAACGACTGAAATGACACGTGGTGCTTCGTTAATGACTTTGTGAAAAGATCTCAAGTACCAGAGTATTCACATTTTGAAAATGAAAATAACTGCTTCAAGCGTTATCCATGATATACTGAACCACAAAAGAAAGGTCACATTTACAAACAGCGAAGAAATGTAACAAATGTGCTCACCAAGTGAACGTCTTCCTCAATCAAATTGCGATACAACACAAATGGCGAACTGCGTTTACATGCACACACAAAATCTCCCAAGGGTGCATCTACCCATGGGTTAAATACATT